TGCTATGGCAACCCCTCTAGAGGGAGGTGCAGTGGCAATAGGGAGAGCTGGGAAGAGGGAGAGGGAAGGAGGGGGAGGTGGGGGTTCGATTCATGACGACTGTTGATAGGAGGAGCTCACCCCTGATGTTGTGTGGTCTGATTTGCTGCTCATCTAGGAAGTCCACGCCCCCCGGTCTGTCTGATACAACCTTGAGTACAGCAGTGCCGCGTGAGAAGCCTTCCTGCGCAACACTGCTGATTCTCTAATGCACCCTCAAATTTCACCCCAATCTCTCTCCATCCCATTGCGGATGGGATGCTCCATGTAATTTTAGTTGCTAGCTGTGACTCAGCCGACCACCGGCGGAGAGAATGGGCCTTTGGGAGAGTGTGCATGAGTATGTGTGTGCTTTTGTGACCTCGGGCAGTGGACAGCAGAAGCTGCGACTCACGGCTGAAGGAGACTGAGCATGCAGAGATTTGTGGAGGCTGACTACTATGAGCTGGACTGGTATTATGAGGAATGTGCTGATGGTAAGCCCAGAGGTGTCATTATACTTGCCTTAAGCTATTTCTGTCTAGAAACTATTTAATCATGTGAAGAATTCCGTTTTATCACATTTCTTTATTTAGTTTTGCCACCTTTTAGCGCACAATCAAATTATTAAAGGCTATGCTTCAAATCTGTAGTCTGCATTCTGTATACTTTTTGTTGTGCGCTTAGTTTGGAATGCAAGGTACATTGGAAGTTGTGTGTCTAGTGCAATTAAGAGGTGCATATTTTTCTAGTGCAGTTAAAAGATGCATATGCATGTTTACAGTCCAATTAAGAGACACATATTTTAGAAGGGGAGGGAGGTGGGCTGGAATGGAGGGTGATAATTTGACAAATGGAGTGGAAGCGGTAGAGAGTGTGAATGATGGGGATGAAGTGATAAGATGAAGGTGAGACTGTGAGATCTGTGTCAAGCAGATTGTTAAGGAAAAGTTCAATATAGCTGGAAAGTAAAAGCATAGAATTGAAGAAATGAGGAACTGTTATGAGAGAGAGCAATAGGAAACAGTGAAGATGCTCACAGAAGCATCAGTGTCACTACAGTAAGTAATAAACTTTTCCTTTCTTGTAGACTTGTATTGCATCAGACAGTGCGGCCTATTCAGCCTGTTCGTAGCAGTGCTAAATAGAGCATTATTTTGCAAGTCTACAAGACTGTTTCAACCAAATGAAACTTCCTTGTTGACAGTAACCAGGGTGAACTCTTGGCTGGGTTCAGACAATGCCCTAGCAAAAGAGAAGAGCAACAATGCTTACATAAAATGACTTGGGGTTTCTTATAGAAGGGTTGCTATTAAGCAGGCTTTTAAAAGAACATAGTAAATATACGAAGTACATAGTAAATACAAGAAAACTAGCTGTATTGAAGTATTATAACCTGAACTCAAGTATTACAAAACGACTGTAAAGGTCATTTTAAATCCTTCAGTTACAATTTTGCTCTTCTTCCACTTAGTTCTGTCCGTTGCTGAGACATTTATATTACCCCAGTCAGTTCTCTACTGATTTGAGAAGAGCCAAGAGCAACAACATTAAATCGTATATTGCTGTTGAACTTGTGCAGGTTTAACAGCAGCAGGTTTCATATCACTAGTGCTTCAGTCTGATTTATGACTTGTGGTGGTAATTCACTGATAACTCATTGTGGCATCATGGCTCCTTTCAGTAGACTGCTGTACTTTGATATGATTCTTATGTAACACTCCAGTTAAAGCCTCATATAAACATTTTTGTAATCAGGAAGATTGTACAGGCTCACTGGTATGCATTGGTACATTACTTGGTGCTGATTCAGCGTTCTGTCCCATGTTTTCAAGGTGTGGTAATACTGTCATAATCAAACAGTATAAGCAGCTTAATAAAATAATTTAAGTAAATCTCTTCTATGCTGTTTATGTGTTAGCTCTGAGTGAAATATGCATTTTGGCCCTGATTTTGTTCTTTAAATATTTGCTAAATGAAGCTGCTCTAGTTTCACAGCTGATTATTTAGAGACAGGAGAGTATTTAGCTTCAAAATGGGCAACAGCAGCTTATTTTAGTTGGTATTTCATCATGATATTATATAAGCATTTGCTTGCTAGCTGTATGCAATTATGTTAATACATGAATCACATTAGGATCTGTTTGGTAAAAGATGACATTTTAAAAACGATGGATGATACAAGTTTGCAGGTGCACTGAGTTCACACAACACTGTCTCCTCTAAATCAAACCTAATGTAGGGAAACTTCAGGTCATCTTTAATTGAGGTGAACTCTAAGCTTGCTAACCCATGTATCCAGTCTGAATAGTTTTTTACTTAATAGAATGATTTTTACTCTTTCAAAAGTAAAAGTTCAGCATCCAAAGACTCACTTGGGTTGAAGTATTGAAATGCTTGAGCTACAACATCTCTAGTCAAAGACCAGAACCAAAGTAATTTGTCGCTGTTGGGAGAATGCACCCATCTCCAAAACGAGAACTTTACAGGAGAAGGAAAAAAGTCCTTAACCTATAATGGAAGTCATTGTAACAAGATTTTATTCCAAATCATTTTTGTACCATTTTCATTGGGCCATTGATCACACAGTGTGAACAGCTGAGTATTTCAAACTGTATTAAAAAGGAAAAAACAGCAATGAAATGTATGTAAAAGCAAAATAATATTTGTTCTTAAAGGCCATACTTTATTAAAGTAGTGGGGTGATTTTATGAAGGTTTAATGTCAATGATCATCATAAAAACTTATTTTTGACATTACCTTCACTTTATTTCAGTTGAAAGATACTACAGCACGTGTTCCAACTTTTATTGCAGTGATAGTTTTCCATGCGGCTTGTGGTCCATGTGACTGTGCTCTGTGTGTGTGCGCGCTCAGTACTGTCCTGTTCATTCATCAGTGTGCTGCTGTATGGAGCTGCTGACCCACATTTAGGAGCTGTTTTTGATCTGCAGTTCATTTGGGGCTCTCTCTGCTCTCGCTTTGCTGCAGAGTGCTGCTCAGCATATTGATCACCTCACTGAGGGGAGAGCAGTGCTCACCAGCCTACACACACACACACACACACACAGGCTCACTCACATTTATATACACACCCACTCTCCCACCCACGCTGTCTGACTCACATGGTTTCTCCTTCCCTGCTGTCATCCCGCTCTCTCCCACTACTCTCCCTGCTTTGTTTTTTGTTTTGTTTTGTTTTCTTCTTTTTTGGGAATAGGGAGAGAGGAGGAGTGTGAAATTTTTTCCCACTACACAAAACAGAGGCACTCTCATTCACTGCCTTGGCTTTTCTGGGTGGGAGAGCATGGCTGCCATTGTGTCTCCATAAGAATGTGAGGCCACTGAGTGCTTACCAATAGACCAGTTTCTGCAGAACAATGCAAACAGCATCACAATCACAAGCCCAGTGCAGCATGCTTAGCAATTTGAGTGTGAGTAGATTTTTATAGGATGTCGAGTGAAAATGACTCGAGCCATGCATAGAAGTAATGAAGCAAGTCACACAGTTACTGCGATTTAATGTTTGACAAAACTGAAAGACAATGAACTTTTTTGATGATGCAGAAATGCTGTGCAAACCTTGTGGTGTTCTGCTTGTTGTTTGGATTTGGTTTGAAATCCCAAGGCAGCCACTGTTACACTAGTCCCATTAACATTTAAATAATTTCTACTAAGGCTGCTTTTACACGTAGTTTGACTCTCCTGGTCCCTGGCAGATATGTACATCACTCCACGTGCATCAGTGTACATTTCCCATATCAGTTCATCCTTACAAATTACCTCTATAAACAAAAATATGATTAGAAAATTAGCAAATAGGACCCATCTGGAGGTCAAGCAGAATAATATAAACCAGATTTGAGCCCAACATCAAACTTGTCCAATAGTATATGAGAGAAGGGGCACACCTGAGCTCGTCATAGCACTTGTTTACTTAAATGGGTATTTGAATAAGGCATCAAATAAATGAATGTTAAAGTTTCCATGTTTTTTATTTTTACACATATATCACCACACGGGAGGTCTCGGTTGTCCAAATGACCAAAGGTGCTTAGCATCACTGACACTGTACACCCTCATTTGTTCATAACAATATTTTTAACGGTATAAAATATTTCTGGTTGGAATTTGTTCAAATGGGATAAAATATAAATTGGATATTGTTAAAATGATATGGAATAAACTTGGTGGCCATCATACGACTTTGGGGGCACCCAAGTCTAGACTGTTATGTATGGAAAACACTGTAAAAATCTTTTTTGTGAAGCACATTATTGATTTTATTAACTCCCTGGATCTGGTGGGCTGGAGTGAAAATAGAGATGTAATGGGTGAAAATTCTACAGACATGCCCTTCCACAATATCTTGGGGGGGGGGTTGATTAGAAACAAGCCAAACTTAAACTTGGAAATGGATCAGGATTGGCACAAAGTTCCTCCAAACAGACTTTCTTTGAATGTACCTCAGGCTCACGGAAATGAGTACGAGCAGGTGCTGCATTAAACCAGTTGAGCGTGTTGTATTTGCAGTGAGGAATATTTAAACCAGATTAAATTTTTCCTTTTTGTTTATTTCACTTGCTTAATGTTTTAGCAGTTTATTGATTTAGGGCTAAGTACATATTTGTACTTGATTTAACACTGTACTTGATCAGTTGTATTGCAGTTGTAAAAGGCCATTATTTTCTTCAGTGGCTGTCTGTTTGTTTGTCTATTTGGCTTAATGGAAAGTCCTTCTCTGTGCACCAGCTAGAAATCCTGCGGTGTTTGCATTTCGCATGGCTATAGGGACACAGGCTATCAGGTGGCCACACCTACTCAACAGGTGTAGCCAAACACAACTCTTCCATGCCTTGAGAGGTTGCTATGGTGCTTTGAAGGAAGAAACCATTTGCTTTCTGAAGAGAGGGGTGTTCAGCTCTCCATTTTGCTTAAAAAATGCTACCCTGTTTTCAAAACAAGACATTCACAGTGCTGCTGTTGTATACAAAACATACTGATTTAAATTAACATTCATTCTCAGATACTGAGTTGAGATTTTATTCAAATCTTTATGGGATTTATGTAACACTCCCCCTTCCATTTGTAGCAAGGTAAATGGTAGAGTCAGGGCTTTGAGTCACAGACTGTTGGCAGGTGTGGGCACTGGGCAGTGCTGTGTGTGTGTGTGTATCTGAGGAGGTCGCCTAGGACGTGGTTTGTTAGTCTGAGAAACACTTATGGACAAGTGTGACAGTTTTGGAAATGGCATGGAACTTAAAGCAGAGTTTCCTGCCCTGGTATCACTAGTCCATAAAGACCATGGAATTGCCACCTCATGGTTCCACTGAGGAGAACTTTGAGTATGACTCCTCTTCAGAACTGCTGGATTGCTCAGCTCTGTCTAGCTTCACCAGTTCAAACTATGCTAATGATGAACATGAAGATCTGGAACCTTATACACTGGAAGAAGGTACATTTTTGCCTCTTCTGATAACAGCTGTACCTTGCATTGTCTCGCTCTTTGACTGACTATGTGTTTCAATGGCCCAGCTGAACTTTCATCAATTTCTGTGTTTATAATTTTGGTATCTAAAACACTCGCACTGGAACAGGTTTGTCCTCTTGCGGTCATGTTTAAAGCTACTTAACAATGGAGCACTAACAAATTCATTCTGCAGGGATCCAGTTTTTCAGCTTTGTAAGAAATATTTCCTAAAGTCATATGATGAGATAATGAGTTCATTTTACTCCACATAAAGCCTGCTAGTTCCTACCTCAAGTATGAGCATAGTGTTCATATTTTTGGTACAGTTCATGTCCTGGTCAGTAGAGTACATGGTGGTGTTGGGATGCTGAGCATGCACTTTGAAGATCAGGTGTCATATAAAAGAGTGTGTTTTCTTGATGTTTAGGTTGAATGTTTTTAATTGAATGAGTACAGACTGTGCTGCTGGCATGCAGGCTAAACATAGACAAATGAATAGAGGCAGAACATAAAGCAGAGCTAGTATCTTCAGCATGGGCAGACGTGGGTTATCATACTGTTACCAGCCTCACCTCACTAAAACATGCAATACCATAATAACACACACCTGACCCCAAACTGTAGAGCCCTGTAGTTTTAGCTTCAAACTCTTTTTATGGAAACATTTGATTTTAGTTTTGCTAATCAGTCCACCCATGTCATTAGAAACTGCACAGTAAGTTAGCAGCAGTTTGTTGTCATGAGTGTGTTCCTGAACACGGACATGTGTTTTTGTGCTGTGTTTGATGCCTCTTGTTAACAAAAGTCAAACTTTACATTGTGGCTATGATGTGTACAATGGGGAATGCAGTCAGGTGTGGTTGGGTTGGGCATGTGTGTATGTATTGTGTGTGATGGACTGCACGTATGTGCTTGAATCAAGCTTAGTGTATTGTTTTTATTATCTGTACTCCACTGCTGTGTAAATAGTTCTACATTTGTGTGTTCAGTCATTTTATAAAATAATTTTGAATTGTACTCAAATAATCTAATCAAATTATGGTGAAATTTGAGATTTCATGATACACTGATTTATGAAGGAGTTAAGCTAAATTTGAAGTTTACATGACTGTTCTACCAAAAAAAAAAAAACAATTTTTAATTCCATAGATTTTTCAAAATTTCTCTATAAATGGATAAGATGTAAACAAAGTAATTCAGAGTGGTTTAATGTCAAAAGGACCGTTCTACAGAAACTTACAGAAACTTAAAATTGGTCACAGTGGTTGGGATAGAAACCCAACATCTGAAGCGTTACATGCCTCTTAAAGTACGTTAAGGTATTACATAAAATAATTTAAAGATATGTTACCTGATGCCTGAGATATTGTTTTACGATAGTTTTGGAAGAAGATTTTGGTCTAAAATCCATTCATGGCAGAGAATTAACATCCCTTATATTCCCCTTAAAAAACTATTATTTTTCAGCTTTTGCAATTATCAACAATGCATATAAAACCTCAGAAGTCATGTGTAGTTCCACTGCTCATTGATTAGTATATAAAATGGCTGTATTTGTGTTGTAGACACTGTGACCCCTGGTTCCTATCACCACCACTGTAAAGAAATCTGAGTCAGTAAGTTTCTCTGCAATGCACATTAAACCACTTTGAATGTCTCCATTAAATTACACAAAAATTTTAAATAATTTATAATTTTTTTTCTTTAATGTTATCAAAGTGTTTTCTTCAGGATGATGCAGGATGAAGTCTACAAAAGAAATTATATTTGATCTGGTTGTGTTTGGATGCTGTAGCTTCAGTCTCTGCTGTGCTTGCTACTGTAGTATGCTGTGAAGACTCCTGTTATCTATTGATGAGTCTAATATCAGTTTCACTGGCCACTGAACTGGCCAAGCCATCCACATCACTTCCAAAAGATAAGAGTTCATGGTCGATACACGGTGAGATCACCACCTGTGTTTGAGTGCGCTGGGTGGAAGCCCGAGATTTACTCAGCAAGTTTATCATTTATCAGCCAGTGTTTCATAATGAGTCACAGTTTTGGCACAACTTGGGATTTTTATCTGTTTGATTTGGCTTATAGATTCTGGCAAACTCTATTGTATTGTACGCTTCATATCTTTGTGTAATTCCTGTGAAAAGCTAATGTTGACCTTAGATCTTTTATTGTAGTTTGACCTCCTTTAATAGTTTAATAGTTGGAACGTACAGTTTTAACCATCTACCTGTTTAGTTTTTCTAAAACTCAAACTTGAGTGAAAAGTGCATGTGAGCCATGTATGTGTGTTGCTGACTGCACCTGGTTAGTCACTGGATGATAGTCAGATATCTGACAGGGCGTCTGTTGTCCCTTCAATGCATGACGCAAACGGAAATGTCTGCTTTGCATTTGCTGCCTCACGCAGTACGCCCACAGAGAGCAGATCAAGAGCTGAGGTGCATACCTGCCTTATAGAGGCAGACCATTATTTAAATACTGGAGTCACTTACATGTATCTGTGTTCCACCCCTTATCCACAGTGCTATTTAGTGCTTCTTTGATAAGGGCTATACCTTACCTGATGGTGAATACAGAAACATCATGATTGCATTGGAAAAGTTTCTTTCTCTCTGGCATATAGGAATTTGTCTGATCATGTTCACATGCTAGTGCAGCACAGGCAAACATACATGCAAATCTGTAGTTAATATATGCTGTGTAATAGAACTCCCACTACATTAAAATCAAACATTACTAAACATTACAAAAGAGCAATTCTGTATGTAAGAAATTACATTCCAATGCACAGTTCCAATTGTAGTTGCTCAACGACATTAGAAAAAGCAAAAAATAGCCAAAATCATTATAACAGGCACCTTTTGTCTAATATTGTGTCCTGTAGTATTTTGGAACAGTTCTGCTGCCACTTCTTATTATGGATTATTGGAAAAATCTTGCTCTTTTGCACTGAGCTGTTGAGAATTGAATATGGGGAACTTGACTATTCTACATTGTAGCCCTTTAGATTGGTGGGCTTTTTTGGGGTGCCTGAGACATGGCATAGAAACGATCATTCCAGTATCATTCTACTGGGCATGTTGTTTTGTGTCAAATGTAACAGCTGAAAGTGTTTTTAAGCACTCCACGGTGTGGGACAGGGTTGTGTCATGCAGGATTGCGTGAGAGCTGACTGACAGTCATTTATTATCACAGTCAGCAGACAGAGAGAATCAGGGTGGCTCCTCATTGCACACAATAAAACAAAGTATTTAGTTACTGTGTGTGTGCTGGTATGTTTTCAAATATTCAATGCAAGTTACTAAGTTACTAGTGACTATTGAAAGCTGTAAGCCACATGGAAGAGGTTATTATCCAGCCTTGTTACCCAGCAGGACAGGGCTAGAGCTTGTCCTATTGTGAGAAATGCAGCATGCTTAAGATAGAAGGCCTAAAGAGGTTTCAGCAGGTTAAAGCCATTATTAGATCCACGGGGGGTTATTTATGGCCTTAAATAGACGAATCCTGAAATCAGGTTCAGGTAATGAGAGTAATGTAGTTGTATGTTTACTGTCTGAAGGTGTTGTTAAATTCCAGCAAGGCACCAGCATAAAGCTGCTGTTCTGCCTGATCAAAGACTCGCTCTTATGTCACAGAGGCTACAGTGTGTGGGTGGTGCTCTGATAGTACTGCACTGCTCTTTCTGTATGTATGTGTAGAGTATGCTGGCTGGTCTGACTGTGTTGAATTTTTTTCAACTCTTGATGCATGCAATATGACAATATGAATATCTTGATTAAATTATATAATCATTTATTTTTATTATGATAATGTATTTTTTATCTGAAGAGCGAGACCTGGGTGTTATCCTTGAACCTATTTTCATCTTAGAAACATTGCCAAAGTCACACTCTCCCACTCTCACTGCTCGATGCTAAGAAGTTATCATTTCTGAATGACACCTATCAATTCTTTTAATGCGCACAAAGGAATCGAGGATAGAGGAAGCTTCCAGAGCAGAGAAACACATGCATGCAAGACACGCAAGACTATTTTATTGTAGCACGTGACAGGTTCTGTGTTTTTAAAGGTTGATGAAAGGTAATTAAATTGATGTGGTTGAATTTTAATAAAGCATGCTCATGTGTAAAGTCATTTGATATCAGCAGATTCTATAAGCCCAGAAACAGGTGATAAGACACAACAGAGTGAAGGACATCTAATTTGGCATTGATTCCTTGCATCTTTTCCTCTGTCCTCAGTCACAGTTAGGAGCTAAGATGCGAGAAATGATACAAGGAAAGGAAACGTGGACGCACAGTTAGATATGAGATCCACCCATGCTTTCACTCTCTCCCTTTAGATTATTGCAATGCATTGTTCACAGGCTTATTCAAATAGAACATAAACAAACTACAGTTTATACGGAGTGCAGCAGCAAGAGTTCTTACTCAAACATGGAAGAATGACCATATTACTGCAGTACTAGCAGCACTGCGTCGGCTTCCTGTTCAGTAAAGAATTATTTTAAAGTCCTTTAATTTGTTTTTAAAGCCATTAATGGACTAGCACTTTCTTATATGTCAGATTGTGAATATATTCAACAGTGTCTAAGATCATCAAACAGAATTCCAAGAACAAAACGCATATAATTGTCCCAAGTCCCCTTCAAGACATGCAGCAAGCTTATTTATTTATTTATTTATTTATTTTACAACACTTATTTTTATTGTTACGTTATTATTTTAGTTTTTTGTTTATAATTATTTCCTTTGTTTCTTCTCCTATGCTGGTTTTTATTTGCCTTCCTCCTCCCAGTAAATCCCCCCTACCTTCCAGATCAGACAGCTGCATTTAAATGTATGAAAGGTTGTTGTTGTTGTTGTTGTTGTTGTTGTTGTTGTTGTAACTTTTCTGAATATCACGAGTCTTGTCAGTACTTCTAGAACACTGAACATTTGCATAAAAGACAGATTTTGACCAATCATAAAACCTGCAAACATCAACAACCTATATATATATATATATATATATATATATATATATATATATATATATATATATATATATATATATATATATAAATATATATGTATATGTATAAAATCTACATGGAAATCTACAAGGTTTTTGGTGGGGGGGGGGCTTTTAAGTGCACTACTTCTGCATTTTGTAGTGTGTATTGGCCACGTTAGTCTTTCTACTGGTTATTTATTGACCTTCTGAACTAGTTTTCAGTGTTTTATGTTAATGTGAATTATGGATTAATAATAAGTCCACATTGTTTCTCTCTGTTTTTTTTTCCGTGTAGTTCTGTGTGCTGAAAGGGTGGGCCAGATGACTAAGACGTACAATGACATAGATGCTGTTACACGTTTGCTTGAAGAGGTGAGTCTGACACTGTTCTGCTTGTATTTAGGTGGATGGTTTATTTAGAGCTGTGATGAGTAAAAATAGAGGAGCAGCATGATCCATCATGCGTAGTGTGCTCCAGCTCTCAACACTGCAAGGTGTTTGTTAATGCAAGAGCTCTTATTGACTTAACACATGACTACTATGTAGTTATTGTTTGATTTAAATTGTGTTTTATTTACAACTATTTTTTCCTTTTTTCTTTTTTTCCCGCACAAATAGAATGATATTGACGTTGATGAGAATAATGATTATGATGTTCTAGGGTGTATTTCCTGTCTCTAAGATCTGTACACCCAGTACTGTTCTCTCTGGCCTGCAGTGTTGACATGAGACACACTCACAGCCCAGACAAATAGAGCCTCAGAATACGGAAGTGTTTGAGTTGTTCTTTTCCTAGACGGTTCAGGTGATATGTAATCTTCTTTGTTGCTTAGTAATATAAGTTCATATTCTCATCTTTCCTTCTCTTTTCCTCCTCCCTTTTTCACATATGAACTTTTATAACTTTGGCCAGGAGGGTCAAAAAAGTTTTTTTGATTAAAATTTTCAAGAGGCTCCTTCATGCGGTTTCAGACTTAATTCATTTAAATACAGATACTACAATTTCTCTTTCTCTCTCTCTCTCTCTCTCTCTCTCTCTCTCTCTCTCTCACTGGCACTCTTTCCCTCTCTCTTTCACCTTTCACTGTTTTTCTTTCCCTCTCCCTTTCTTTTATTTTCTCTTTCTTTCCTTCTCTTATTCTTTTTCTTTGTTTTTTCTTTTTCTCTCACTTTTTCTTTCCTTTCCCCTTCTTTCTTTCTTTTTCTTTCTTTCTTTCTTTCTTTTCTTTCTTTCTTTCTTTCTTTCTTTTTTACTTTCTTTCTTTCTCCTCCTCTCTTTCTCTTTTACTTTCTCTTTTCTGTCATTCTTTCTTTCTTTCTTTCTTCTGTATATATCTTTATCTTTCTCTATTCTTTCTTTGTTTTTCTGTCTTTTATTCTTTCTTTTTTCTCCTCTCTTTTTTCTTTCTTTCACTTGCTCCTCCACTCCGTCTTTTTCTTTCCTTCTCTGTTTTCTCTTTCCAAGTTTTTTTTTGTTTTTTTCTCTGTTATCTTTCTTACTCTTTACCTTTTTTTGTCTTGCTCTCTCTCTCTCTCTGCAGAAAGAGCGGGACTTGGAGTTGGCAGCTCGTATAGGTCAGTCCCTGCTGAAGAAAAACAAAACCCTGAGTGAGAGAAATGAGTTTCTGGAGGAGCAGGTTGAGCACATACGGGAGGAGGTGAGAGAGATGGAGGTGGATGGCTTAAACACATAAATGCCAGTTGCTCAGACCACAGATTTTACTTTAACAAGATCATTCTACTGTCCTATTACTGTTAAAGAGACAAGTCTACACTGATGCTTCATTTATGATCCACTTCTTAATGTCCCACTCAAGAATGGTCAGAACAATACCATGAGCAGCCCATGACCAGCTTGATAACACACAGCATTTGACATTTCTGTTTTATAGACAAATGTCGTTGATATTCAAGAGTGCACATGTGGTAGGTGATTTGATTAGTGGTCAGGATGTGGTGGTTTGATTAGTGGTTAGGATGTGGTGTCCTGCAGTAAGCCTTGAGCGTTCGGCGCGTTGTGTGACCTGCAGGTTTCTCAGCTGCGTCATGAGCTCTCTATGAAGGATGAACTGCTCCAGTTCTACACCAGTGCTGCTGAGGAGAGTGAAGGAGAGTCTGCCACCTCTACCCCGTGAGTCTTCATTGCTTCCATCTCTTTCACTCTTATTCTCCCTGTCTCTACTGTCCAGCTCATTGATTCTTCCTACATAATAAGCAAATTACTTTTTTAATAATTCCACTTTCAGTCATTTCTGAGTGTTAATGCACATGTGTGGACTTTTATGGTACCTAGTCTTTGTTTTTTGAGTTTTATTTAAACTAGATTTACTAGATTTGTTTAAACAAGTTTTAGCTTTAAAAAAGCTATTTCAATCTTATAAGATTTGGCCTTTAAGACCTCCGTCGCAGAGACATTGTGTTGCTGCGGTCTGTATAGCTCACGTCACAGATATAAGAATTAAAAGGTTATACCTTTTATTTGTCAGATCTTCCCGCTTTCAACGGCCAGTAGCATTCCTATTTAGTTTTGGGAGGATTCCCATTTGGTTCTGGTCCCTTTTGGTGTAGAGTAGAGCTAAACAGTAAAACACTGCACTATTGACTAATGCTGTTAGTTTTGCTGGTACACCCATAATACTAGTATTCTAGTGCTTGTACTTTATTGATTAATGATTTAAGATGACACCAAGACAGACTCACTGCATTAATTATGCATTTGACCTATTGTCCCCTATATAAAGAGCTCTCAATGGCTTTATTGTGTTTTTGTCTTCTCAGTATTGACTTGGCCTCACTAGTTTGTCTCATAAATCTTTTCCATCTTGTTTTCAGTCGTTTTATTGTCTTCTTTGTGTTACTATGTTTCAAAAGCCCATCCCAAAGCTGTATTCTAGTTGATGAGCTCAAAGCTGATCCCCCAGTGCTGTTTGCTGTTTATGTGCTTGAAGTGAGAGGGGATGCAGGCAAGGCTGTTGCACTAAGGCGGCCTACAGCTGTTCTTGACTGACCCCTACATTTCATTATTTGACTTTTTGTATCACTTTTAATGCATCTCTAAAGGGTAGCTACAATAACTTAAAAATATACAGTACCCTTTCATTTATTTGCAGTGAAAATGGCCATTAAGTACAAGTTATTTACTTTTCAGAGTCAGGAAAAAAAGGAGAAAGTATATATTTAACAGAAAATTAAACAGAAGCCTCAACTTAATATAATTCATTTTTCAATATTTGGAGTGTCCTCTCTTTACGTTTATTATAGCTTTCATTCTTTTTTGGGAGACCTTCTTTTTAGTTTTTTGCGGAAATCTGCAGCTCCAAAGTTGATTGCTTTTTTCACTTCTGATGCCAAACACATTAATCGATATTAGGCCCATTGCTCTGAACACCAGCAGAAACATAAACACCTGTGGATTTTTTCAGATATGAAGCGAGAGTGGAGCTTGACTTTCTCCTCTCTCTCAAAGATCAAAGATTTTAGTACTGTTTGTCTAATGGGGACAGTTTAGCAGGTCATTAGGAGTCTCATTTTCTCTGTATCTTTTAATGAATTTTTGAACTTCAGTTTTGGAAATGTTTGTTTTTTTCTACTTATTTTCATTGATTCTAGTCTTCATTATGCAAGTGAATTATTTTATATCTAATATCCTCAGAAATATCTCCCGAAAATGAATAATATTGGATTTAATGACTTTTGCACAGTATTGTATCTTATCCACTAACCTACATGAGAGCACCAACTTGACTGAGGCATAGCAATAGTGAGGAGGCAAGCAAATTACATTGTGATTGGTTAATCCAGCAGATTATTTTATGTGTGTGTTAGGATCCGGCAGAATGACTCCTCAGTGTCAGTGCCAAATTATTTCCCTCTGGACTCACTGCAGAAAAAGCTCAAGGACCTGGAAGAGGAGAACATCGTACTGCGCTCTGAGGTGAGACACACACTCATGTTGGTCTTCATGTGCTTAATCAGCATCTGCTGGAGCAGGCAGGGAGATTTGCATAGCTAAAATGACAGGAAAATAAAGTGTTAGGAAGAGACAGAAATAGAAACAGAGCTGTTTGTTTGCCGTATGCAAATGAACTGAAATGAAGCATCCAGGGCTGTGTCTTCAGGCAGCAGTCTTATGTTTGATGCATATGGGACCAGCTGGTTTACTCTCAGCATGGAGTCTTTCTACTGTAACTTTACTCTGCAGATGACGCTCCACCTATCTGACCTCAGTCAAGGTAGAATTCCATGCCTTGTTTACAAGCCTCAGCTCTCTGACATTATCTGTCTTGTCATTTTCCTTAGGTTTTCCCACTAAGGCAGTAAGCTTTAGTCTGAGATAATCAGGTTTCTCTTAGGTTTTTCACTTTTGCTGCATTGTTTTTCCCCATCTTTGTACATCTCAGCTGTTTAATTTTAACTTAGTTATGTCATCTTCATTGGACAAGTGTGCCTGTGGTGAGTGGGTGCATGCTTTCTAGTCTTTATACTAAAAGGTATTCTACTGTGTTGATGTGAATCCAGTATTCTGGTTGCTTGCCAGAATATGGTGATATCACCACAGTGCGAATGTGCTGGACCATGTAGGGCAATGACTGCATGGCTGTCAGGAAAATATATACTACTACTATATATAACATTGGAAATGTACAATAGTGCATAATTACAGTACAGATGACACTATTGTAGTATGCAGGTGAACTGGAAAAGGAAGGTTTCAGTGAGGTTACGTAGAAAGTAATCTTCCATATACAGATCTGCTTTCAGTAACATGATGCGCATATTGTTGGTAACACCTCATTTTACTTTTGTTCTTTGTGTGTGTGTGTGTGTGTATGCATGTGTGTGTGCGCTTAGGCCTGCCACTTGGAGACAGAGACCATCTCCTATGAAGAAAAGGAGCAGCAGCTGGTTAACGACTGTGTAAAAGAGCTCCGTGAGTATACCTGTCTACCATATCAGTACCATCTTTGCATGAAACCGTGCTGAATCAGAGAGAGCTCCGAAACCTGCCTAATCTAGCAGTAACCAGTAATATTAGAGTCGCAGTCTGCCGGCAGATGACCTCTGTCCTCTTAGGGTAGCGCTCAGTCCTGTCAACACTCCCAGCTGAAAATAAAGGCTTCATCCACATAGGCAGATCTATCATTAGTGTCTTACCAAAGCCAAAACCATAAGCATCTGTTTTCTTGGACATGGAGTGCAATACCAATGACATTTCACTTTTAGAAATCCTATTTAGTCTCAATTTAGGCTTAATCTGGTTCTGGGAAACTGGCCGATTATTAGAGGAAGTTTGTGCTCATCCAGCATGTCTTCTGAAATTAAGGGTATTAAAAGGGAGTTTGTTCCCCCTTTTGCAGCAGTAACAGGCTCTACTTTTCTGGGAAAACTTTATCGGACGTGTTGGAACATTACTGTGCGTGTTTGATTATATTTAGCTACAAAAGAATTCATTTTGTCAGATACTGATGTTAGATGATTAGTTCTGGATCACAAACTCCAGCTTAGTGACTGGATGGTGCTTCATCACTCCAGAAAACACAGTTCCACTGGTCCACAGCCCAATGCTGGGGGCTTTAATACCCCTCTAGCTGACCCTTGGCATTGGGCATTATGACCTTAGGCTCTTGCGAAGCTGCTCCAAAGCGTCTCATTCTATTGCCAGTGCTTTTCTCTGGGAATTATACAAGCTGTGTGTGCACAATTTGAATGCCTGTGTCAGCAATAGGAGCCCCTTAAAGCAGCTAATCAGAAGGGGTGTCTGGATTCTTTTGGACATACAGTACAAATTAAAACAGTACAGCGGAATGGTGTTTTGGGGGGAGGTGGTTTGGGTAGTGCTTCCCAACTACACTTCTGGTAACTCACCTGCACAGGTTATTTTTCCCTACACATTAGTAAGATCCTTCTTTAGCTCAGTCAAGCAGCAGGGAAGATGCAAATTATCAGTGCTAGACAGGACTGGAGTTGGGAAATGCTGTGCTAACAGCTGGTCATAATGCTCGTAATATGGTTACAATTTTATTATGAATGTTTTAATGTTCCCAAGAATATTATGACTCTTTAAAGCTATACTACCTTACAGTTCTAGATTTGCATTGGGTTCATGTTGGCGTAGAGGCAAAATTTTCCACTGAACATGAATTACAATTTTCCTCTCTCCTCTCTTTGTCTGTGCTATTCTCGTTCTCTTGTAGGAGATGCTAACCTGCAGATTTCGTCTCTTGCTGAGGAGCTGGCAAAGAAGACCGAAGATGCCTCCAGGCAGCAGGAGGAGATCACACACCTGCTCTCTCAGATCGTGGACCTACAGAAAAAAGCCAAATCTGTGAGTACTCCTCTTCCCCATATTTCATACTTGTTACTACAAGGCTGTAGTTGATGATGGTTTGTTGTGTTTTGCAGTATGCAGTAGAGAATGAAGAGCTCACCCAGCACCTGGGAGCTGCTAAAGATGCACAGAGACAGCTCACTGCTGAGGTAACAGCATTCTGAAATGCACAGCAGTTCCAGCTATCTAGACGTTCAAATCATCCCTGTCTAAAATCTGTAAAACAGTACTTTTACAGTACTATTACATTCTTTAGTTTTTATGTAAGTTAATGTAACAAGATCTTATTTCAAGCATTTTTGGAGCATATCTGTATGTGTGTGTGTGTGTGTGTGTGTAGATTATTATACAGTCTCCTCCTCCCTTTCTTTCTCACTGTCTCTCACTCTCTGTCCCTCTCTCTCTGGTTGTAGCTGCAGGAGTTGGAGGATAAGTATGCAGAGTGTATGGAAATGCTGCACGAGGCTCAGGAGGAGCTGAAGAACTTCAGGAATAAGACGGTGCCTCTGAGCACGCCACGCCGCTTTCACTCACTGGGTCTCTTCCCCATGGTGAGAAACAGCAAACCAAAATTAAGAGTCACTACAGTAAGAAACAACATTATGGACATTTGAGGACAAGTTCAAATGTGAAAAACTGAAGTTAAGATACTAGTTTTACCGTTCATGTCATCCACTGTAGTGAACTTTTGTTTGTACTTGTTACTTCCCTTTGCGTGCTGATTTGTGCTGTTCTCAAACTTCGGGAAGCTGTATATCCATGCCCAGGCTTTTGCATACATGCCATTTAAGTTTACATATTTTTGTGGAGTTATGCAAAACTAGTCAAAGAGTACAGCTGATGAGGAGAATAAGGGAAAGAAAAAGACAAAGGTGATTGTATTCGACGTTGTTCTGTCCCGTTTCTCACATTACTATCTGTTACTGGCATCTAACCTTGCGTGTGTATATATATATTTTAATGTATGTGTGTGTGTGTGTGTGTGTGTGTGTGTGTGTGTGTGTGTGTGTGTAACAGGACTCCTTAGCTGCTGAAATTGAAGGGACCATGAGGAAAGAGATTCAGATGTCTGACCCAGAAGTTGAAGAGCAGAGGTACCCATATCACCACTGTCAAATGTTAGACAAAGTTGAATGTGAAGTCTGTGTGTTGTCATACTGCTGGAATAGCAATTGTTCCAGAGTAACACCCATATTTACATTCTGCTCTGTTATTTGTGGAAGTGATAAACAGATGTAACTTTAATATATATATGCACATAAAGACTTTTCATTCTGACCTTAAAATTATTTATTTATGTGTGTTTATGTGTATTTGTGTGTGTTATTGATTACATGTGCGTGTTTCTCCAGATTACATCCGAAGCGGGTCTTCCAGACGGTGCGGAACATTAATCAGACGGTTCGTCAGCGCTCCATGGGGCCATCCCCTATGAACATCCCCGGGTCCAATCAGACATCGTGTGTGAACTCAAGGCGTTCCAGCTGTCTGAGCACCCCCAGGTCCAGTGTGTATGGGGGAGAAGGGAGCTTCATGGACAACCGTACCAACAGCCTGTTGCTGGAGGGCCAGTCTCCACAGGATGGGTGAGTCCTAAAGCAAAAAAAATACAAAAAAATTACAAAAAAGTTATAAAAAAAAAGTTCAGAAGTGCCTTAGTTTTGTTTAAACTGTACCAACATTACAAACATCCTTGCTGTCAGAACAAAACCTAGGTTCTCCAAAATAGTGACTTTACAGAAGCAGGAAAAATCTTATTTAACTTGTAATGAAAGTTTGATCTAAGTCACTTTGAACTATTTCTAGTGGTCCGTTCATCATGAAATATTCACACATTATAAAGGAGAGCTGCTGTTTCCAGATTATTAACAGACAAAAATGAGAGACGTTTTGTTCCGACAGGTCATGTTTTGTTTAGTAGATTTTTTATAATCTTATGTTGAATGTGTTTTTCCTTTAGTGATATACGCTACAATTTCAATAGTGTGTCATATTATGAATTGCTGTTTTATTCAACTATAACTTTTGTTGTGTTCAGATTGAAATACTATAAGCTAGCCAACAGAAGGTTGTTACCTTACAACAGTCTTACAACATTGCAAGTTTTTTGGGAACAACAAGAAGTTATTACATGATAAATAAAATACTGTAATGATCAATTTATGGTCATGTTACTGTTATCATCCTTAAGATTTATGCACCTTTTAATTTTCTTCATCATTAACATCTATGTATTACATTCTACATAACATTCTCTATGTTATACAGCTTTGTCAAATAGGAATCCTCAACAATGCTGTTAGTTAATCTGGACATCTAAAATTTCTGAAGTAGTTTCCTAATCTATGAAAATTTAAAAACCTCTGCAGGTGTAGAAGCCTCTAAACTGTTCTAGCATATATCATTGTAAATATATATATATATATATATATATATATATATATATATATATATATATATATATTATATCTATATATATATCTTTAACAAAAATTGTTTTAGATTATTGAAAATGGAAATTTTCAAGCTTTTGAATGACTGAGTACATTTTATATCTTCTCTCTTTGTTCCTTCAGCTCTGATGACTCAAACAAGAAACCTGGCACTCCTGGCACACCCGGCTCTCGTGACCTGGAGGCAGCACTAAGACGGCTTTCTCTCCGCCGCGACAACTACCTGAGCGAGCGGCGCTTCTTTGAGGAGGAGAGAGAGCGCAAGCTGAACGCTCTGGCCGAGGAGAAGGGCGAGGTGTATGAAGACCGGGAGCAGGGCAGTGGCAGTGACGGAGGAGGTTCTCTGACTCCTGCTGACAGCATCATGTCCCTGGGCACGCTGCACTCCGTCTACTCGGTCTACAGCAGCCGCTCCTACCTGCCTGAGAAGCTGCAGATAGTCAAGCCTCTGGAAGGTGACCAAGCCAAAGGCAGGCCACTGGCCCTGCTGCTTTTAGACTCACTGTGGGGTCTCATTCACCACCATCCTGACAGCCTCTCCACACAGCACTCCTTCTACTTCAGACACACACAGCCACGCTGCTGGTTTGAGATCTAAGAACACACACAGAAACATGCATGCGCAAGCCCATTGTTTATAAGAAAGTCTTCTCTGACTGGCAGACATAGCGTTAACCACTAAAGCACTTTATAGCTTTATTAATGCAGTTTTAGTATAGATGGATAGAGGTTTTGTGTATTTGATTGTGTAAAGTCCTGGTAGGTGACTGAATAAATGCACTTTGTATTCACATTTAGGATGAATGCCACTGATTAAGTTGCGCTCTCTGCTGCCACCTGCTGGTAGTTTTTCCCATTGTTTTTTAAAATAAGAATTCACACAATGTGCAATCTGAGTGGCAGTTTTTTGAGGCAGTATTTTTGCGTTGGTTAAGATTAAATATAGAATTACGATAGTGCTACTGTGTAGTAATGATTGACATAGTAGTGATGATGGTTTTTTGGTTGTTAGCATGATTTTGCTCTTTGGTTGGTTAGGTCCAGTACATTTTACTTTCTTTGTTTCTTTTAGCATTTTTCCTTCCCTGTTTTCTTTTGTATTTGTCTTTCCTGTCACTTTTTAGTTTGTTTTAACCACCCTGAGTTTTTTATCTTGTCTTTTAGTCTGTTTTTAAATTCTTCAATAAATTCTGCATTAATCTTCTCACATCCTTTATTTTCTCTCTTTCTTTCTGCACGCTGTCTGTTCCTAAACCTCAGAGCAAAACAGCATAAAGATTGGGTTCATTTTAAGCACCCACCCCCTGCTTATTTGAATCTCTTCAAAAATAGATTTCCGCCAAACTAATGATAGTGATAGTCATTCATTCTATATTAGATACATTAGTCAGTAGCAACCAGTCATTATTTAGTTGTTTGTCATTATTTATGTTCAGTTTAGCCAACATTATTTTCTGGCTAAAAATCTAAAGTATGCTACAGCTTATTAAGCCTGACATACATTTCCTGTTTACAAAGAAGTTCATAAAGTTTGCTAACAAGAAGCAGTTTTTCCTGGACTTCACTGATTTTGTTTTTTCAGTCATCTAGCCTGGTCCAGCTGAGCTAAAGTGACCTGCTGTTCCCCTAAGCATTTAGTAGAGTGTGGCTGTGTGTACTATGCAGACACCTCTACAGGCAGTGGGGTGTTTTAGAGCAGAACATTTGCTGTGATTAGGCTCATTAGTATCCAGACAAACGACATCCTTTGACCAACTGTCTCTAATCATCATGTTTGTCTTGGCTTACATACCTAGCAACAATATAGTTTGTTTTCACTGTTAATGGATTAGTTCAGATTAATTTTGCTTATGCACATCAGAGCTGCATTTTTGTTGGTCAGATGTTTGCAAACCATTTGACTACCGTCAGCTAACTGCAGAGATTAGAGTGTTTTCACTACAGAATGATTACGATCTGCTGAGAGAACCTGTCACAGCCTTTGTTAATGATACTGAGCATATTGTCGCTGTTGGAAAAAAACCTTGTGTCTCCATTTTTGTTTTTAATTGATTGGATTTTATTTATGTATTTATTCATACAATTTATTTTCATTTGAAAATGCCTGTTGCCCTTTACTGTGGGTGAAAATTTGAACTAATGAAAATCACCCAAGAATATGTAGAATGAAACTTTTTTACATTGTCTTTCATTGTCAAGTAATCATTTCAGAGATATGAGATTTTGTCACAACAGCAACAATGTGCTGGTAAATCAGCGTATCAACATAAAGTATAAAATAACGTAAACAGCAGTCACGGGATGTTGTTCTTTAAAGTCAATCGGAGTTTTAATTCAGAATGGCTATCAACAATGCTAATAATCTGCCCTCCATATTGAAACTTTAATTTCACACAACATGCTCATGTCATTCTACGTCACACAGCCATGATTATACATTGTTACAGTTTTAAAGGACCTTTTCTTGTTAAAAGTAAGTAAAAAAAAAAAAAAAAGGTTTTAGTCTAATCTGTCTGTGTGTGCTGTTTCTCTCTGCCCTTTTTCAGGCTCAGCCACTCTGCATGCATGGCAGCAGCTGGCTCAGCCCAACTTGGGTGGCATTCTGGACGCTCGGCCAGGTGTTGTGACAAAGGGTTTCCGGCCGCTGCAGCTGGACCTTGAGGAGGTGTACCAATTCACAGATTTGGAGGAAGACGAGCTGTCTGAGCATCAGCACTCTCAACCCACTCTCTCTACCTCAGGCCTGGGATCACTGCCCTGCTCGCCCAACATCAAACTCCACAGCCTGGAGGAGCGGGACGGGGTGGAGCGAGCAGAGTTGGGCGCAGAGGTGGAGCTGCAAAAGGCCGCAGAGGACGAGGATCGGTCATCTGGTGAGGGAGCATCCTAACACCGACCTGGGGGCCATCACAAACATCTTACTGCCCCAGAGGAGCGCAGCGTGCTGGGAACATTTGCCTGTTTGTCACGCGTCATCCCTCCCCACACAACTCCATGTTACATACAGCACCTTGCATGGCGGCCTGGGACAGGCCAACACACACCCACAGCACGCCCACCACTACCTCATCCCTGCCTGATGTGTGCTGCTGTGGTAGCTTTGAGTATAGTGACTTTTTTTTTTTATATTTTTGCTTTGTCCTATTTTCAGATCATCTCCGCCCAGTTGACCTATCTATGCTATACCTGCAAATGCATTCTTTCTGTGGCGCCGTTGAACAAGGATATTGGCACAAATCTCATTCAACATATTGAATTTAGGTTGTAGAATCACAAGATAACGTTTAGTTTCAAAATGCAGTGCTTCTGAGCTGAACCTCTGTGTTATAGCTGACTGAAACTAAGCAGGTTCGAAACAAAAATAATTTTTGGCAATGCTAATGATAGCTCAAAAAAAAAGAAACTACGAAACATACACCCGATCTGTCCTAAGAGTGGGATCTTTCACACACATACAACATATGTATCTTTTAGGAATGCACCAAAATGTCCACTATCGAAAAATGAGGAAAAACAGCTGAACATTTTGACCAAAAAAAGAAAATCACAAATATTAGACTGACCAACAATGAAGCGTCAAAATCGAAAATCCAGAATTACTTTGCAAGTAATTGTAATGGTAATGAAAATGAGATATATTGATTAAAAACACTGTCCCCTTGACTTTCCTGCACCGTTCAGTGCAGACGTATTTAAACAGTTTGAGTAGCAGATCAACAGTGAAAATGTCAGACATGTGAAACCATCTCATAGTTTCTGCAAAGAATGTAAGAAAAGCGATTTGAAATCACTGTTCATGCCAAGTATACAAAGCAGGTACGTCTGAGAACGTCTCCACCACAAGTTTCATAACACTTAAAAATACAACATCCCACTCAATAGGTAGAATACAGCAAAACAGCAGAAGCAGGAAGGAACATCCCAACAAGCACATTGATACCATCTGTAGCCACAGTTTCTGTGATGGAAAGAAAAACAAACGACAGTACCAAAGTGCAAAGTATAACTGAAAAATAATGACAGTTGATGCGCAACTGTTCTCTGTTGTCGAGGACATTGGATTTCATGGCCCATAGTGTAATAATTTTACATTTATTTTATTTTGTTTTGTTTTATTTACATTTATTTTATGTAAACTGTTTTTATCTTTTGTCAGCTTGTTTTGGTTTTCAGTTTGTTTTCAGCTCATTGTGACCTGAATTTTGTTTTTGGACAGGAATTTGTCATTTTGGAGCATCACTAGTATCTTTTGAAGTTAATAACTAAATGTGTAGACTTTGACAAAAATGAGTGATGTGCTGCAGTTTCTCATTAGATTGAATAAGATTTTTGCCAACATTCTGTAAACCTTTTCCAGCTTCACGACAATTGCTGTGAAAGAATGCATTTGTAGGTGGAGAATGGATTGGTCAGCTACTTAGGGGGCCATTTTTCCTGCTCTGAAATGAGAATATAGTCTGAAACCAATGGTCATGTTTTATCTGCATTAACAGCACTTTTTACTTCTAAGCCAATTAGAATGATATTTTGAAGACTTTGTTGTCTACTTATATAATGATTTGTTTAAACATTGCACTTTGCGTCATAGTTTTATGATGGTAAAGTTCATGAGAAAGGTAATAATGGTCTATTGAGATTGGACACAAGTGTCATAAACTATATTCTCATTTCCTGCACCTATCACACTCATTCCTGATTAATTTTCCATCAGTCCTAAAGGCCTCTGTAATTTCAGTGCTCAGGGGCAATCTTGCCTTACGAATCTTTGCATCTGCTTGATAGCAATTATCTAACCAGTCATATAGTTTACTCACAGCTTCCTAAAGTGCTCTTCACACAATCACCATAGGTTCTACAGGTGAATCAAAAAACGATATCAAAACCACATACTTGAGTTAGAGAGCGTCGTGTAGTGATGACGTGTGTCTTTGTGTGTATAACATGACCCCTGTACATACACATTACCCCTAAGTGAGCCTCAACACATCATGTCCAGTCATAGGTCATAGAGTGAAACGCGTATGCTACAGGCTCAAGTGTCAAGAATTCTATTAAAATCTGAGTGTGGTGTGACTCTACTCACTCACATGACTGACTGAGAGAAACTCCATTGGCAACATGCAGGTCATATTCACCCCCACAAACACTCAGACTGACTCTTAAAGACTGGTGCCAGGCCTGTCAGCACTGCAGTGCACCCTTTTATAAACACAACCTACACAACGCTGATGTGTCACTGGCTCAGTCTTTCAGTCTCATAAGTGCACATATAAAGACCCTCTACACTGCTCTTGACAAAAGCATTTTTCTTTCTGACTGTCTAATGATGTAATCATCCTTCTTACCTATTGTTCTGTCCTATTGCATGACTGTCTTTAAAGCTGCATCAGGTTACTAGAAGTGCATGGTCGAATATTTTTTCCTAACATGATTGGCAGCCAAGTTATTTTTGTTTTGGCTGATTGCTGATCTTTATACAACTTTTATGCCCTAATAACGCACTTGTGCTGCATTTTGGATGCTGTGCATGCATGTCCATGTGTATCCACTGGCCTATCACATTCATTTAGCCTGCAAAGATCGAGCTTCAGGCAAACGAACAACAGTACTGTTATATTTGTTGCTTTAAAAAAATTGGCTACATCTGCCATTTTGGCTGTAAAGAAATTGCATTTGGCCATTTTGTCCCACCCTTACAAAATACTTAAGAGCCATCAACTTCCTGATTATATCAATATCAACAGATAATTGCCTAAAAAATGTATTGCCATTGGACAGATGATTCAAACCGATATTTGATGACTGTACAGAAGAGCTGAGCATAAGGGGCCACGCTGGACTACTTTACTAAAATATCTACATTTAGAAGTTGCATTTATCTGTAATGCAAATCCAAATAAATGATTGGATTCTAAATGTTTATGTATCAGCATTGACAGATATGTAAAAATCTGATACCTGCATCGGGACAGAATTCCCGTATCAGTGCATCCCTACTAATTACATCTCTACGTGAAACAGTATAGTGATTAAAAAAAAACTCTTTAAAACCTAAGCGTACTGGAGAATTGAGGAGTTGTGGTTGTGTAGGCTTTATCTTCCAGTCCCTGCTGCAGTTTTAACTCTCTCTCTCTCTCTCTCTCTCTCTCTCTCTCTCTCTATTATGGTGTTAGAGTTTGTGTGTGTACTTGTACTGATCTGTTCCTCTCCTCTCTTGTCCCCAGTGCATTTCCCTGGTAAATGTATGTCTCACACTAACTCTACCTACACCTTCACTACCTGCCGGATACTCCACCCCTCTGATGAACTGACCAGAGTCACACCCAGGTGAGCCTTGCAATACCTTTCTCTCAACACTGGATGGCGCCCAGTGCTTAGAAGCTTCTCCTAGACATGCCGTAAAGCGATGACTCCCAGCCCTGGTCCTGACGTTCTCCGGCCCTGCTCGTTTTAGCGTTGTCCTGCTGCTAAACAGCTGCTTCATCTTAGGAAGAGGTGGTTAGTTGGATCAGGTGTTTCAGAGCAGGGATGCTCCAGGAGTAGGGCTGCCAGGGTTGAGATCCACTGCCTTACAGTACATGATTAGCCTGGGATCTGTGTATCCTTAAGCAATTTTCATTTTATGACTTTTATCTGAATTGAAAAAATGAAGAGTTTTGTTCCAAAACACACTTATAGATCACTTTTAAGAATTCCATTTTTTCCATGATCTACATTGTTGAGAGTGGATTTTTTGTATTATTAATAGTAGTAGTATTATTAATAGCACCTTTATTAGAGTAATAAAAATGTGTTTTCCATTAAAGTAATCTGTTACTCTTTTCAAAAACTTGTTATATCGTTACAAAAGGATATAGGGCATTTTGGAATGAAACTCTTTAAATAATCTGGTGCTTTGCATGTTGTTTTTTCCTTCTTTCTATGATTATAATCCTTTTTTCCTCCTAAGTGCCCCATAGACTTCAGCACATATCAGTACAACCACAAGAGCAGTGTTCAGTTATAAAGGTTTAGTGTCATCATGGAGAATTACTTGCCTGGATATGTTGCTGGTGTTTGGGTAGCCACACAAGATGTGATTGGCTCTCTGCAGATCATGTGATGGTGATGATGAGGAGGAGGAGGAGGATGAGGAAGAAGCGCTGTACCATGTTGTACTGAGGCCGGGCTTAGAGCAGGCTCTCTGAGCCACACCCACTCAGGGTGAGAAGTGGTCACATGACCTCAGCATGACGGATCACAGGCGTGTGCACATGGTTCACTAACTGAACCTTTACCACTCTAACCTTCTAACTGTCTTGGAGGGAGGTGCCTCCTACTTCACTCTGCAGTCTGTGCGCAGACTGAGGGTTAAATGTAAAAATGGCAGTCTGCTTACATTTGCTGTACAGTACTTTAACATTTTAACTACAACGATGTGTTTAGGATTATTGTAAGCACTACTGTGGACACTGCAGGGCATGAAGGAGTGATGCATGTGCAGTAATCAGTGTGTGAAAGTGTTCTGCTGGGAATGTGTTTGAATTACTGTTTATTACTATGTGAGGAAAGTGAAGCCATGTTACATCATTACTGTTTTGAAAGCTTCAGTGAGACATAGAGGTCAGCTTCAAATTCTGATAGCAGGTGGTTCATATTAGGGTTTGAAATATTTGAAATACACGTGGGCGTCAGGTTCAAATTTCACAATCAGATTTGCACAGCCCCCCTCCCTTTTTGAACAGATTTTACCCTGTATTTCCCCCTGCTTTAGTTTCCCCCCTTACTTTATTCTTCCTCCCTACTTTCATTACTTTCTGGCATGCTGAGAACAGACCTGTGGAAATGCTGCAAATTTACTTGGAATTACTTTATATTAACTTGCATTAAAAGTAAGAAACGTTTTTGCCTTCCATTGTAAGGTTCCCATTTTGGAGATACAGGGTTTTCTTAGGTCATTAAGATATGTCGATGTAGATATGTTCTGTGGTTAGAAATAAGAGGCTTAGGATTACACAGGTGAGGGCTAGCATCTCACTGTATGAGTACATCACAGTGTGAGAATAGCACAGTAGGGAAAGCTTATCCAGACTTGTGTTTGGAATGATGGTCATAAGGATTGCTTATGAATATATTCATTAAAGCAGAATTTAAACATGAATTTTGGACTCATAACATCGAACTATATTATATTTTATGTCTTCATGATATTGTCACTACACAGTAATTTAATAGCTGCCATCATTTTGCTGCACTTTTAGTGATGATGGGCCAGTGCAGGTTAGTCTTGGACAGAATTATTGTGCTCTGGACAGTGTCAGGCTCAAAGTTTCATGATGTGGTTTAGCTTGGGTTGAGTTCAGATGGGCTCCAGTCAGGTTCTGACCCAAAACTTGGTCATGTCTGGCTCAAACAGAAAGCTATCAGCTGTATACCATAGTATACTATACTATACTATGAGTATAGTTCTAGTTTGTATTGTGCCTAAAACCCCATTAACTGTGGTAAATTCACTGTAACACAACCTTGAGTGGCTTATTGTTTTTAGTTAGTGGCAGCAAAATGATATATGATACATTACACCAATGTACATTATAATGATAAAATAGTTCTTGTGACAAGCAGTGTAATTCCTCAGCAGTAGACTATGGTTACCAAACAACATAATAGTCAATTATTTCATTAACAGCACAATGATTTTTAATGATGTGGCGCATTAATACAGAATTCAGTTGAGATGTTCGGTTGCATCTGTATGTTGAGTATTTTATAACGACTTTGAATGTGACTCAGCATGTCAGATTTTTAAGGAGAACTGTCCATTTTATAATAACACATTTATTTTTTTCTGTGCTTGCTAGTCTGTTAGCAGCAGCTCCCTCGTTGGCCTCCTGCGTGATGTCCAACAGCAGCATGCGCTCCACTCCAATCTCCACGCCCTGCACACCGCGCCGCCTCAGCCTGGCTGAAAGCTTCACCAATCTGCGTGACCACACCAAGACCACCAGCACTTCTCTGGGCCTGGTGCGCCTCCTGCAGGAGCGGGGCATCTCAGCAGCCGTCTATAACCCCCACAGCTGGGACCGGGCCCAGACAGCGCCTGCCCCAGAGTCCATGTCCTGCTCTGTCTCAGGTACAGCTAGCCCCAACCCTCAGGGCCCAGTAACACTGCCCTCCACCCCTCCAAACTCACCCACCAAATCCAAACCCAGCAGCCCTGTGCTGCCTCTGGACTTCAGCCCTTCTGACCCACCCTATGAGAACTTCCTAGCCTCAAGGCCGGCCAGTTCCATTCTAAAGGAGATGCGTGGGACAAAGGCTCGCTCAGACTCACAGTGCCAGACTGAAGTAAGTGTCCAGAACCTTCGTCTGGTAGACAAGGTTAAGCGTTTCAGCCTGGGCCCCAGAGCAGTAACCCCAGGGCCTGTACTGGGGTTAAATGGACCACCTTTTGGGGCCCATCCTGGGGTTACCAGCCCTATAGGAGGACTGCCACTGCCAGGGATGCGAAGAAACCGAAGTTACCCAGTTATGGTAGGGGCCAGCATGGCAATGAAGGGCCCAGGGCCTCCGACTGAAGATTTACTTTTGGCCCCAAAACCTTCCAAACAAACTAGCCTCAATGAGGAGTGAATGTTGCCTTTTTCTCTTTTTCTCCCTTACTTTTTGTTGCAATCTCTCTCTGTATATACAAGAATAAAGTACATTTCTCCTGTGACAGATCAACTGTGCCTCTAAGAGATTTGTGTAGATTATTTTGTATAGCAGCTGTGACTGTAATACCATTTCTTTTTTTTTCTGTCACATAAGGGACAGTTCATCCAGAGAGACCATGGTGTGTTGATTCTGTGCAGTTGTTCTCCCTTACTTCAGTGTTGCTTAAAGAAATGGTTCACAGAAAATGCAAAGGTACACAGATTCCCCTTCGCCCCAGATATAGTCAGTTAGCCAAGGTGTATTTAGTGTCCAAAGTGTTTGGTGTTTTTTAGTTTTGCACTGGAGTTTTAAGGTTAATCTAGTTTATGACATAGACATGTAATATATTGACCTTGTAGCTCCAGTCCAAATCTAAAGGAGCAAACTTTAGACGCTAAACATGTCTTGGCTAACCGGCTGTGTTTAAGTTGAGGAGAAAACTAAATTTCTTTTATTTGGTGAACCATTCCCTTAATCCTTGTCTGGGGACCCCTGCCTTGTACAATTTCAATCAATTAATTATAAAGCCCTTTAGTTGTGTTGTGACAGGGAATATTTGTAAGTGGGCAGGAGCAGTGTCCTAATGTCTAAAATTAGTTTTTGCACTTGTAGGCTGCAGGAACATGTAGCATATTAACTTAGAGGGAATCTTGAGGCCTGTGCCCTGCTTAAGGCGCATTGTAAGCACTTTTTGATTTTGAATAACTGTACTACAAGACCATATCTGTGTATTATTATGTTCAACTAATCTGGTCTTCCTGAGCCCAGAGCACTGTGTGCTTAGAACTTGGTTGTCTCTTTCAGCATGGTTAACTCTAGCACTGTCAACAACTTTCTTCTAATGCTAACATGAACAATGAAGAGCAGTGGAGCTGTGCTAATGCCAAGTTAACTGATTTAGACCTTATTTATATCCTCAAATAAGTGTCAGTAAAACCCCTTAAAAAACATAGTTTGAATAGTTCACACTAATATTCCTACTTTTATATTCACAGCATATGCAAATCCTTAAATGCTTATTAAGGTGTAATATAGTGCTTATTACAATGTAATAAACATTTATATGGCCCTTAATAGAGGCTGTTATTAAAATATCTGTACTAACTAGCACAACAGATGGCGCTCACTGTACTGTAAGTCCTCTCTCAGTCCAAAGTTATGTTAGTAGCTGTAATTCATTGATGAGAGACGACTGATGTGTGGATGATCATAGTAGGACATGGTTTAAATTCAATGATTAGTACTGACTGATTGTTCTTTGTTGATAGACCAATGTTATTTATAAACGTATGTGTGTATATGTGTGTAAAATAAATGCAGTCTAAGAGCTTATACATGCAAACTAGATATAAAATACTTGAGTATGGCAGAAAATTTGTACCCGAAAATATGTTTTCAAAACAGTGTCCAATCCTTCTGACACGAGCAGCATAACTGAAGAAGCTTTGGAAGTGTCTGGCCTGATTTATAGCATAATTAAAAAGATGTAAAATGTTTATTTTTGGTGAGGGATTGTTTTAAACTCTCTAAAGACTGAACTGTAAGCTTTAAATGCATTTTGGTAATTATGAATTGGTGGAGTGACAGAAGTATCATGGTGCCTGATGTTAACAATTCATTATATAGTCCTGTTTTGACTGACTTTGCCTGCCTCAGTATACACTGGAGTTAATGCAGCAGCTAAGGGTTTGGGTTGATTCTATCAAGAGGATTTTTACCTAGCTGCAGATGTTGGTTAAACTATTTGAAGGGTGTTTGATCGTAGGTGATCTTGTCTAGAAAGCACATGGAGCCATAACTGTGTTCTGAAAGATGCCTGTATTTATAATCTTGTTTTTTAGTCACAGCAAAAGAGGGTTGTCTGTTGAAGATGTGTGTGCACTTAATCATAACTTGAACGTTATTATTGAATGTATTGCAGAACCACTGAGGTGTCCTACATGACTGTGTGCTCATTTCATTTATGGCTTTTATTTCCTCAGATCACAAAAAAGGGAAGTTTTGCCACTTGTACATTGTAAATTATAAATATGTAACTTTTTATACAAAAGGGCATAAATTAGTGAACAAAAACATCAGAATGAAGAGAAAATGAAACCTGTGGCAAAAGGAGGGTGAAAAACAAAGTGGAGTTGTGCATTCAGGAACTCTTACTTGCAGAAATGTCCATCAATAAAACAGTTGATCCAAAGGTGGCTTCTTTTTTTTTTTGTTTTGATAAAACGATATTAATGTATTCATAATATTAATGGAGTCAAAAATAAGGTTTGACAAACGTTAGCAAACTCTGGATATGACTAGGAAAAAATCTGCCCAAATTGGCTTACTGTGGAATTTCAAATATTCACAGAGAATTACACACCTTTATGACCACAAGAGGGAGCATTTTAGCTTCAGACACCATCATTTAGCCTGTGCAACCGTTCTGCTTTTTGTTTTTAAACGGGTGCAGATATGAAAATAGCCCTGATCTTGATGCTGCAGCAGATATAAGACCCAAATATTTAAATAATTAACCTATTTTTAATGCTTTCTCACACTATTTACTTACACTATGGTAGTCAGCTTTTGTTTTACTGAGATTCTTAGCTCAGTCCTTGAGGCCCACCAGGCGGATCCACATTTTTACTCTAACTGTGAGTGTTGGGCACTGGGCTAGAACATGTAACTCAGAGGTGGGCCCCAAGAACTGGGTTGAGAAGCTCACTACAGTGTGGGAGTAAATGTGTGTGAGAAGGTTACTGGTTTAGAACTTTGATACTAATTTAGTTCCACTGGCAACAAACAGGATGCATGTTTCATACTTTGAAAAAGAAGAAATTAGGCAAGTTCTGCCAGACCGCCACAGGCTGCAAGACATTTGTCACATAAATTTCTATTACAAGTTATAAATGATGTTATACAAAACAATGAAGTGAGTCCACTTGTATCTTGTATCTACACTTATTGTCCATTTTATCAGCTCACCTTACCATACAGGTGCACTTTGTAGTTCAACAATTACAGACTGTATGTGTTTCTCTGCATACTTAATTAGCCCTCTTTTACCCTGTTCTTCAATGGTTAGGACCCCCACGGGACCACCACAGAGCAGGTATTATTTGGGTGGTGAATCATTCTCAGCACTGCAGTAACACTCACATGGTAGTGGTGTGTTAGTGTGTGTTGTGCTGGTCTAAGTGGATCAGACACAGCAGTGCTGCTGGAGTTTTTAAACACCTCAGTGTTACTGCTGGACTGAGAATAGTCCACCAACCAAAAATATTCAGCCAACAGCGTCTTGTGGGCAGCGTCCTGTGACCACTGATGAAGGACTAGAGGATGACCAATGCAAACTGTGTAGCAACAGATGAGAGAGGCTACTGCCTCTGACTTTTTTATATCTACAAGGTGGATCAACAAGGTAGTTTAATGCGTGTTTAACAGAGTGGACAGTGAGTGGACACAGTGTTTAAAAACTCCAGTAACACTGCTGTGTCTAAACCACTCATACCGGCAATGTACCAGCATCTGCTGGACGTGGTCTGTACTGCTCTACAGTCTTGTGTGTTTGTGCCTCTGACACGATCACTTTACAAAAGGCCACTCAATCAACAGGAAATGTAGGACGAGGGTCGAGGTACAGTGCTGAGACCTTTAGCACCACACAATGAGCCACAATGAGTGTTTTTTTTTTCTGACTAGTGTATTTCTGTCTCCTTCATTGACTTTTGTCCTCATTATTAATTCATGTTAGGGTCATTAAGCGGTCAGTGCCCTTTTCCAGGGTGTGTGTGTGAAGGGGAAGAAGCCAGATAAAGTGCCTGGCTCCCAATAAGGAAAAAAAAATACATGGACATATATTTTTAAATATATGAAATACATCCACTAGAATGTATTTGAGAATATATTACCATATTAACCAACTATATTTTAAAATACATTTATTTGGGTAATGTTACACATAGACATAAATAAATGTATGTAAATGTATTTCTCAAATACACCTTTTGAAATGAATTTGTATTCCAGCATCCTAATTTTAAATATTAGCAAATGAATCTTTAACATGACAAAAGCAAGTGTTGTAGGTATTGATAAACTGTGAAAAGGCAGATTGATGATTTGATATCTTGTTTATTTGAAATACATTTTGTGTGAGAGCTGTCTTACCACATACATACAATGTACAATGGTATAACGTGCAAACCATATGTACAGTGATTAATACAAAGTCAGTACCGTTTATTCAGTTCATGTATATTGAGTTACTCTTTGTAAAACTACATACAATTTCAAAATACATAATGCAAAAAAGGTCTGTAAAAATATATATTTAACAAAAGCATTTTTGGCAATTTTCATATATTGCAAAAATGTGTCTGATAAATACATTTGGAATATATTTTTTTTCCATATGGATGCAGCATTCAGCGGTAGGAATGCAGTGGGGCAGTCTGGCAGATGTGCGCATGAGGAACACAAAGCCATAGGGTCTTCTGTTATTCACTTTGGGAAGTGGGCAATATGACAATATTTCATTGTCATTGTGATACATCACACCTCAATATGCTTTTCTGAGCATATCATCAAGACTTAAACACTAAATTACTGCATATCTCACAAGGAGAGCATAATTAGTCCTGTTTAATTGGACTTGTGCAATGTGAAACAAAACGAAAATCACTGTATTCATACATTTTCGTAATATTTTTAAATGTTTTTTTTTCCTGTCCTAACTTGTCAAACCTCAGAAAAACGAAATATTGTGATACGTATCATGTACCGTAAAAATGTCTCCAAGTATCGTGATGTTATATTTTTGCCATTTCCTACCCCTTTGTACCCCAAAGTGAGAAACAGCAGACGCTATGGCTTGGCATTCCTCATGCGCACATCATTTAATGCCACTGAGTGCTGCAGCCAGGCACTTTATCTGGCTTCTTCCCCCTCACACACACATACACACACCCTGGAAAAGGGCACTGACCGCTTAATGACCCTAACATAAATTAATAATGAGGACAAAAGTCAATGAAGGAGACAGAAATACACCAGTCAAGACAAACACCAGTCAAAAAACACTCATTGTGGCTCAGTGTGTGGTGCTAAAGGTCTCAGCGCTGTTCCTCGGCCCTCGTCCTACATCTCCTGTTAAGTGAGTGGCTGCTTGTGATGCGATCGTGTCAGAGGCACAAACACTCGAGGCTGGAGAACAGCGGTTATTTATTCATTTACGCTGTGCTGTTATTCAGAGTGCTTTCTCCAAGTGAAGAGAGTTTGCGCAGACACGCTATGCAGAGGGTGATGTGGAGACTGAAAATGATCCTATTACATCTGTTGTACCTCACAGGACCTCTTACTGTCATGCTGTGACTTTACACTTAAAGGGCCCATGTCTTATATATTTTTTCCCCAATAAGCCCACTTGTAATATTTGTTTGATTGTATGTATGTACCACATCTGTCATAATTCTTTTTTGCATGACCATTTTCCAATCTCTCTTTATCCTCTAGAATTAAAGAGGCTGTTTTTGTCTCTGACCATGTTGAGAGCTTTGTACAAAAAGGTCAGATTTTTTCCCTTCTGTTGAAACTCATGTTCAGACGACTCTCAGTTGGATTTTATCTACTGATCAGAGACTTTTGTCACTGTTAGTGATCAGAATCCATGCCAGCTCAACTGTCATTAAAGCAAAATGGGCACACAAAAATTCCCAAATATATTTTGCTGTTTTTGAGTTTTCTCAGATTGCTGTGCTGATAATATAATTTGTAATGAAAGATTTTGTATTAATTTAGAAAAGAATGCAAAACAGAGGCATTTTTGCTAGGGTTCCACTGCATATGTAAATGACCTCTGTTTTGATTGGCTGCTGTGTATCATGCACCATCATTCAAAAAACAGTCCAGGCTTATAACACTCCTTTTGAATTCAACATCAGTGGGTAGGCTGCCCTGCCTTAGCCTCAGTATGCAGATATAAGTGAATATGTTGTTTTTTGTAAGATCACAGAAACAGTGAATTCAAAAACTTTCCATTTTGTAAGTTAAGATCATGTCTTCAGCATGTGGTGGCAGTATGAGGAAAGACTGATTGAGGGAGGGGGGAACTCTGAGAACTTGGGCGGGTTCTGGGCAGTTTCTATCTGTAGCTAGAAGGCCAGCCCTCGACGTAGATGAGTTAGATGATGAAGATGGGATGATGGAATTGATTTGTTTTGGTGCCTTAATTAGCTCTCCAAATGGTTTGATTTGGTGACTGATTTTTGCTGCCTATTTTGATGCAGTGTGTAAATGTCTTCTCTGGTTGCTGATGCACTTTTGGCAGTTCCGAGCATCTCAGATAATCAGTCTGTTTTGCTGCCAATTAAAACGCTGAAAAGTGATGTGCACACACTAATAGATGTTTTGGTGTTTTAAAAGGGGAACTGAAAGTCGTTCTGAGTGGTTTGATGTGAAATGCTCTGTTCTAGAGAAACGTACAGAGTCAGGTGCTGATAGGAACCAGATGTCTGAAGAGTTTAGTACCTCTAAAAGCTCCCTCACAGAAGGTTATTGCATTAAATGGTTATGAATACACTACCTGAAGCCTGAAACGTCTTATGATAGTTCTGAGATAAATTTTGCAAACATTTCTTCTATGTGTTTATGGCAGAGAAGTATGTGCAGAACACTGTGAGGCTAAATAGTTTCTAACTAAAACATTACATTCAAAAACTCTGATGATATGTATACATTCACTTGTTGTTTGGGATAATAAATAAAGTGGCTATATATGTGTTGTAGACGATACAACCCCTGGTTCCTATCACCACCACTGTCAGTAAGTGTCTCTACAGTGAACCACTTCACATCAAACCACTTAACGATTGAATTATGCAGAAATTCAAGAATTTTGCTCTTAATAATAACAGATTGTAACACATTCACAATTGTTTCACTGTTTGATGTTCGATGCACTCCAAATTTTAATAAAGCCAAGTTTCTTATGTTCTTACTAAACAAAAAGTCATGTACAGTAATGCATGTGTGTGTGTTGTGTGTGTATGTGTAGATGTATACATAAGTATACATACTGTATACCAAGTCTTCTAAAAATAATGCAGGTGTGTGTTGTGTGTGTATGTATTGGGGTGCGTAGCATCAGAGGTGTTTTTTGGCTATGACGCATCTAATTGCTCTGCCAGCAGGCCTTTTCATGTTGAGGTGAGTGCATATGCATGCATGTATTTGCGTATGTGCATGTGTGTGTGTGGGTGTACATGTGCTGGTCTGTGTTTATGGGTTCACTTTTTATTGTCTAACAGAATGAAACAGCTCTCATTGAGGCACACCTGTGGCATAATGGTGCTTTTTGTTCACTATAAACCACTGCTCTCTCATTTGCCGTCCTACAATCCATCCATTATGTGCTAACTCGAGTGGTTTACACAAAAGACAACGCGGGCTGGGACCCAGCATCTCTCTCTCTCTCTCTCTCTCTCATTTCTAATCTTTTTTCTTCTCCCTCTCTTTCTCTTTCTGTCACTCTAGTTCGCAGTCTTTTTTTCTCTTTCTCTCTCTTTCTCTTTCTCTCACTCTCTCCCTCTCCTGTTTCTCTCATTCTTTCTCTCCTTCTCTTTGCCCTCTCTCTTGCTTTCTTTCTCTCTATTACTTTCTCTCTCACACTCTCCTTGTGCTCTCTTCCTTTGTCTTCCTTTCTCTCCTTTCTCCCTTTCCCCGCTCCCCTTTCCTTTTCTATCTCATTGCTTCTCTCTTTTTTCCTCTCTCTCACTCTTCCTCTCTTCTTCATCTCTTTTTTTCTCTATTCCTCTCACTTCCTGCACTTCTCGCTTGTTTCTCTCCTCTCTCAACTTCTCTCTATCTCTCTATCTCTCTCTCTCTCTCGTACAGTGCGAGTAAAACTGCTCTTTTATTGCCTGTACTCTGATTTGTCCCTGAGGCTGTTAGGAGAGAAATAGGAGCAGAGTCGGCTGCTTGCACTCGCGCTAGAGCTGCTGCTTCAGGGGGTCAATAAGAGAATGTGTTCATAATAAGACCATTACTGTAAGCTCCGTCCCCAAGCGCTGAACAAATGGCTGAGCTGGGCTCTAGTGTTTTCTGTGAGGCGGGTTTAGGCCTGTGCTAATTTGTGCCAGTCGCTTCACTATAATTTTTCTGTGTCATTCTGTAGCAGATTGGCTAAGATGTTATTATTAAAGCAGTAATCAAGAATTCCTGAGTGTCCCTGTCATGGCTCAATGGTGACCCTCTCTGCCAGCAGAGAAAGCTGAAATAGCTTCCGCTGGAGCACCCGCACTAACCTAATCTGATCAGTGTTTCCATGGCATCCCATCTGCTTTTGAATAAATGTGTGGTTTCGCACTGCTCCCATCTATTGTTTTGTTTAATAAATTATATTTGGATAGTGGTTGATTTTTAGATGAGCATAATGGCATCAGGGCCATCATACCATTGCTGGACACTGTCTCCTACAAAAAATAAAAGTAATGTAATGAAACTATTATATTTATATAATGTATAAATGAATATATGTTTTATTTCAAAACATTTCACAGGGGCTGAACTCTGGGTGAATGAGTTAAGGCAATGATTTATTCTGAAACACCTGACATATTTTGAATGAGAGGACAAAATCATATATACACACTTGACAAAACAAATAAAATAGACCACATTCCCAGTCATTTTTTCTTTTCTGAAAAAAAATGTGGGTGTTTTGTAAAATCTGTATGGGTTACATATATACTCATATATTGCATTATCTTCATTATACAAACAAATTTACATAAGTAAGATAGAGACAGAGCTCTTGATTTTTGGCAGGGAGAATGATTAAGATGGCTCTCTCTGTACACATAAGTTGGCTGATTGGTTGATTGATTGGAGATGATTGGTTGAGTGTATATTATGAAGAGTACTCGTACTCCTCTGCACTCCGCCGGCCAAAGTCCATCCAGCCGAGATAATCTCTGTCCTTTATTCTGTGAGTTGTGGTCCTGCTGGAAGGGCTCCTGCGATATGAACCTGAGAGACAGGGAGAAATCCTCTAGTTACAGATAGAAAACATATACATGTTCTATCTGTCTATTGAAATGTTACTTATAGTACAAATAGATAAAAGGCTAAAATTTTAAGTAAATGTCATTTGTAAAAAAATCAATAGCTATAGAACATCTAAGTGTTATTTATACAGAAAAAAATGGCTATAGAATCATAAAAATCACTATATTTAAAGATGAAAATGGCTATAGAGCATCGCAATGTTATTTATAGAGACAGACAATGGCTATAGAACCTCAATATGTTATTTATAGAGGAAAATGGCCAATGAACACAATTTTTTAGAGAAAGAAACGGTCATGTAAATGTTTTTACAGAGGAAAAAAAAACGGCTACTGAACACCTAAATATTATTTACAGACAAAAAGTTTATATAGAGAGAAAATCAGTCAGTGTAAGATTGTAGGTGAATTAAGAGGTCACATGTCTTGTAGGCTACTGTTGTAACTTTAGCCATTAATGCAGACTGTTGAGCTGCTGTTTGTGAATGTGAGAGCAGATGGTCGCTGGCTGAGGAGACGTCCTACCTTTTCTGGAAATGAGTCTGGCCAGCAGTTCATTCAGTCTGCGGGCAGGGTCCTCCTGCACCTCCTCTTCCTGTGCTTTAGAGAGCAGACTGAGCTGACCACTAGGGGGCACTGCACGGGTGTGTCGCGTGTGTTCAGCTACAGCCCCATCCAACTGACCCTCGTCCAGTGAGTGTGCAGGGAGAGCAATGCTCCCGCTGCTGTAGAGAGCCGCCAGCAGCACACACACACAGATTCCAGCGTTCATGACTGAAGAACACACACACACACACACACACAGAGCAGATGTCATTTACAGCCAAATGGCACTAAAATGGGTCTTAAATGTAGTTTTCAAGGACTATGAAGCACAATTGGGTGATGAATAAGCTGAAAAGTGTTAGAATAATATTGACAGTAAGCTCAATGGTTTGTAGGCAGCTCCTCATTAAATTTGCAAAAGGAGCACAAAAGTCCCTCGAAAGAGAGACGATAAAGGATGAGGCAAAATAATTAAGTCAGCCTCCTTTTCACAGCTGCAACACTCGCATTTAGTCAGTACAAACATAACACAGTAATTTTCTCCGACGTCAATACCATGGCATGAAATATTAATTAAGTGGATTGACTGAGCTGCTCTTTAATGTATGCTGTGGGTGAGCTACAGATCTATATACTTATTGTCTGGCTTGCTTTTCTAGATCCCATTAGATACTGTCATTTTTAAGCTTATATTATATTATATTATATTATATTATATTATATTATATTATATTATGTTATATATATATTACATTATATTTACTGTTTCTGGCAGCCACACAAAGTGACAGTAATTATCTGCTCTGTGTTATGAACTTTGAGAGCCATTTTTTCTGTGGTCTAGTTGGTCAATGCAATTAGTGAAAAATAAGTTAACCCCTTTAATGGCGAGGATCCGCCGACAGGTCTAAACCTTTATCACACACTGCTATATCTTCAGAATATCTCAGGCAGTTTGCGTTGTTTTGCATGCAATTATGGAATAATAAGCCTTAGAATGTAATAAGCCTGAGATTTTTAAGGGGAAAATAGAGAAGGCAGAGAGAAATTACTCAAAGACAAGAAAAGCACACCAGATAAATTCAGTTCCCCAGAGGAGCAACTGAGCAGTACAGTGCATAAGCCTTAACATTTTATATCCAGCTATCTGACTGATGAACTGGCCTTACAATAACCCTTTATTTCTAATTACTTACATTGTTCTTGCTCCTCACTGTATCACATGTATTATGTATACTTACATAATTTATGTTTATACACAAATTGCCATGTATTCAAAAAGCATTTTGTCAGAAGTTTAATACAGGACACATGCACAGCTATACTACGTTATAAAAAGAAAGAGAAGGCTTAAAGCAGTACCTTGAGCTGAGAGCGAGTCTGACGGGCACAGAAGAGCAGGATGCTGGAGTGGAGAGAAAGTGACAACACACGCTGTGCTGCACCAGAGCGGATCAGAAACTTCTGCACACAGTGGAGGGGCTGCCCTTAAATACCCCTCTGGAGTGGGCTGGCTCTGTGTGGCCTGCGTAGCAGCAGCCCCGCTACTGCCTTGCCTGTGTGTATGCATGTATGCGTGTGTGTGTGCGTGTAAGTCTGTGAATGCGTGTGTTTGCGCAAGCTTGACGCAAAGCACAGTATTCTATTTTCACAGGATACACACTGTGACATTGTCACTCAAGGGAGTGGGGGCCCATCCTGAACACACACACACCTCATAGGACCTCTGACTAAGCTGCCCCTACACCAACTTCCAATGATGAGTTTAACTTTCTTCTAAATGATAACTCTACCTTCATTTTATCCTACATACAGAACTATGAAGAACAAGTGAAAGAGGAAAAAAAGTCTGCTAAGAATGTACAGTCCTATGTAAAAGTCAAAACCATCCTCCATTTATTTAATTTCCAAACAAATCTGGAGATTTTTCTGGGGGGAATATAAGATAATCCACTTGCATTAGGAAGGGAAGAAGAAAGATAAGTATAAAAAAGAAGATAAGTATAAAAAACAGAAGTTACCAAAACTGGACTTATTGATTAAAAGGGAGAGTGAAAATGGTATTCTAACAACTGTGCAAGACCTGATAGAGCATCAAAACTGTTATCATCAGATAAACAGCACTTAAAGCTTTCATCTTTGAGAGAGAGGAGAAAATCAAGCTCCACTTTTTCTTCAGATCTGAAAAAATCCACAGTGTCTGTTAATACTTCCACTGTGAGAAGACCACTCAACACTATGAGTCTGAAAGGATGTGTAAAAGAAAAGTAAACAGACAAATAAGAAGACAATTTGTAAATTAAACAAAGAAGCTGCTGATGTTCTCAGAACAATGAATGGATTGACCACCGCAGAGTCCAGACCTCAACATCACTGAATTTGTTTGGGATTCCTTGGATTGTGAGAAGCAGAAAATGTAACCAACTTCTAAGACTGAACTTTGGAGGGGTGAAAAATATCTCTGCAGATTTCTTTAAAAAAAGAAACCTGAAAACAAGTCTCCTGAAACGAATGGAATCGAAAATAAAGGCAGAAGGTGGACACACTAAATATGGTTAGAATACTAAATAGATATTGTATTTTGTTTTGTGGCTTCTGTGTATTTTTCTCTTAAAATGTTTTCTGCCTTTTCCAGAGATTGAAAAATGGATAACTTCTACTTAATGGATACTTTGGAAATGTAAGTAATGAAGGGTAGTCTCTGACTTTTGCACAGTCCTGTAGAATCAAATTTAAAATCATTTTCTTTCAGTCACAGATTAAACCCTGTCATACAAGCTAAATAATGGTGCGCCTGATTTTTAAATAAGACACAGCACTATATGATTAGTGTCAGGATGCTATAGCTGTCAAGTATGTTTTTACACAATCTGGCAATCTGAATATCATGCACCTCAATGGCAATCACCTTAACATAGAATTAAAAATGTCCACACCAGTATTTGTTTGAGAATAATGCTGGTAAAAGAGCGCTAAAACAAGCCTCAAGACCATGTATTTAAAATCTTAGGCTTGTTATTCAGTCATTAATCTAAGACTTTTTAAATAACTACTATAAATTATTCAGCAGCACTATGAAAGCAGCATGTAAGTATGCAGTTATGAGAGTGAAGAATTGAATTGTGGGTCCACAAGCAGGCCTTTAGGAATTTAGGGATTAATAACTCCATCCAGTCCTGAGGCTATGGGATATGTGTTGCAATAATTAGCAACAAAGCCTTGCAGAAGTGAGAGGAAGGAAACATTTATATCTGTTAACCAGTAGGAGGCACTCTTCTGTGGATGCTGTAGAGGGGACAGCAGGATGAAGAAAGAGAACAGAGGAGCGAGACTGAGAGGAGAGGGAAAGAGAGAGAGTAGTGTTGTTGAAATGAAGGTCAGTGGGGAGTAGAGTGGATAAAGTGATTCCACAGCCCTCTTTTATATCTCATTCCATTCTGTGCATTCTCTGCTGTGCTTTGAGAAAGGTGAATGCGCTCAGCCTGTAGAGCGCAGGATTTTACACACATGGGATGCTGATGCGAATGCAGCTCTTGTGGACCAGCTTTCGTACGTGCCCCTGCTATCAGTGAGTCGCATGGCCTTCACTGATCTATTGTTTTCATAATACATGAACAAGGGCTTATGTGGCTAGATTTTTATGAAGCTGTGGATGCTGGAATTCCTATTCATTTTAAAACCTCAAACCCTAAGGGCCCAAATAGGCCTGCACTGCAATTTTAACTCTCTTTACTACATGACTTACATGTTAGTCGACAGAATAACTCTCAGTAGTAGTTCAATAACAATGGGTGAGTTAACCTACTGAAGCTGTTATGTGTATAGCATCTTGCAAAAGTATTGAAGTCTTGAACACCATTTAAAGGTATCAACATTCTCTGGATATTAAATGATACTTTTCGAGTTAATTTGAGAACTTATTTTCTATGTGCTCTTACAATACATTTCCAAAATAAGCACCTGCAAACAATTAAAAGAAAATGAAAACTGAAATATGCTGTTTACTCAGAAGAATTAAAAAAATGAAGTGCTCTAGTTTACAGTACCAACTGTTCTGCATAAAATTGGCTTATATTGTGAGGCAGCAAGAAGCACTTTCATTTATCCAAAAAGCATAAGAGTAATTCAGCTAAAATGTTGGAAGATATTTTGTGGTCATGACACTGAGATAAAGCTTTTGAGCCTCAATTTAAAGCACTACGTGTAATACAAACCTAACACAGCCTATGCCTCAAGAAACACCACGCCAAGAGTGAAGCATAGTGGTGGCAGTATCTTGATTTTTTTAGCAGGGATGAGACGTAGAGAATAAAGGGCAGAACACGCATGGAAAAATATGTGGAAGTGCTAAGAAACTGAAACTTGGGAGAAAATTTATCGTTCAGCAGGAAAATGATTCCAAGAACAAGGTCAAAACAACACAGGACTAACTAAAAGTCCTGACCTCAAAACCATTTAGAGTCTGTGACACTTCTTGAAAAATATAATCCATGTGCATAATCCAATTAATCTGAGATCCTGAACACAGAAGGCACTGAATACAAGAGTCTTCTTAATTACCCATGCTGTCCCTGTTTAATCTCCAGAACTAGAACTGTTTTTCAAAAATATGGAGACTGTAAGGATGTTTTATACAGTGTATTACACAAGAACAATGCTTGATGATGATGATTTAATCACACACTCTTAATGCATAATGCACTGAGTGCTACAGTCATGCATGAACTGCCAATTGAAAAACAATGCTTCCAAAAATGTATTAAGTGAGTTTGCTTCAATACAACTGCATTCAGTTCAGAATAAAGCTATAATCACACTGCGTTTGATGCCGTCATGTGGTCTAGTATAAGAGCTTGCTCTCCATAATGGATTTCCTTTCTTTTTGAAACAAACCCACTGGCTCACCCACACCTCTCGAGGATGAGTGTGCAAACCTGCACTTATGCTTGAGTGTCCCCACTCTTCACAATGAAGCCAACAATGATCTCTGTTTACGCCAAATACGTAGTCTTCTTCCACTGACAGACTCTAAACAGAACACAGGTACATGACAATGGTCATGAATTATAAACAATTTTCATTGTAGAGAGCAACATTTATAGTAAATGCTTAAACAACAACAGTTTTAGCTTTATGGGACACCTTTAAATAAAACAAATAAAGACAGCTGGTGTGCTTTAGATCAAGAACATCCACAGAACTAGGGCATCATTCGTAGCACTGCCTGCAGGGAAATTGGAAGTTATGGCCTATTTTCTGTTGAAAGGCATTATTTCAGTAACAGGACAGTATGTCCTAAGTCAAATGTTAGACAATAAACAAGAAAGTCGGCATACCATTGCTATTATGAATAGACTTAATCCTCACGTCTATGATGTGATATTTCAAGAAAAAATTCTTGTTAGACTAAATGTCATACTAAAGATCCACCTACAACCCCATTTCCAAAAACTTGTGGCACCGTGCAAAATGTAAAAACAGAATGCAATGATGTGCAAATCATGTAAACCCTACATTTAAGTACAAAAACAACATATATCAAATATTGAAACAGAGAAATTTCATTGTGTTTTGAAAAATACATACCCATTATGTATTGTTTGCTAACAACACTTCTCAAAAAAGCTGGGACAGGGGAAACAAAAGATTGGTGAAATGTAATGCTAAAAAACATCTCACAATTAATCAGAGGTGTAAGTAACGAATTACATTTACTCTCGTTACTGTAACTGAGTACAGTTTTCCCTGTAACTGTACTTTTTTGAGTAGAAATAAATCATAGTACTTTTACTCTTACTTGAGTTAATTTTTAATGAAATACTTTTACTTCGCTACTTTAATTTTCATAACGTTACAGAGTAAAAATAAATTGTGAGTGTATCAGCTCAGGAACCAATAGGAACTACGCACGGTTAAATTTAAAACATTCACCAATCAAAACAGCAGCTCTGGCAGGAAAAACACTACTGAGAGGTCCAGTTTAGTGGAGAAGGACAGAGGAGAACTGAACCAGCACACACAAGGAACAGACCGCGTCCAAACAGTCATCTGTGTTCATTTAACATGAACTAAAAAACAGTGTTATTATCAGCGGCCAAATACGAAACCTGCTAAGATCCGCTCTCACAACTCGACTCCAGCCTGAGGGAGCGTTAGCCAAGCTGAACAGGTACCGTGTTTACGGTTTTTATAATGATTCTGTTTATTAAACTTAAAATCTGTTAAGTATATTTTATTGCAAGTGTCTGTCAGTTGCTTTAGTTAACAGGTGTCGCCCACAACCCACAGTTTACCCATTTATACAGCCTAGTTTAGCTGCCATTTTAGAGATAAATGGTCGTGAACGGCTGTGAGATAAGGAATCTAGTCTAATACAGGATCTTCATCAACTCTGGGCAGTGATTCAGTTGCATTGTCATTATTTAGGCTGATTGGCCTGATATGATCCCTCCCCACATCCCCACCCTCT